GGATTCGTTGATCATCTCTTGATCAGTTTCTATTTCTTTGCTGTAGGCCCTGGTGTTGGGCCTATCTTTCTTGGACATTTTTAATTACTTATTGAGTCAATTAACCATCCTCTGCTACCAGCTTGTTGCAATATTTTCAGGATCAGACTCAATAAAGATAATAGGAGTTAGAGCTTTAAATATATTTCTTTTTAATTATGATAGGCATTCTATATTCACTGAATATTCAAGGTAGAAGCGACGAGAATGGTGAGGGTGGCTCCTTATATATACAAGGGGTGGAGCTAGGAATGGGAGTGGTAAGTTATGAATACATTAAAGTCCAAAGAATAAGTTAACCTCTGATGTTCCATATATACATTATTTACACATTGGAGAATAAGGCATTTACATCTGACAGTCTCTCTCCTCTTTCAGAAACTGCTACTACTAAGGTAACAAACAAATGAACAAAATCCCAACAAGCTCTAAAAGATGAACTTGAAGCAATTTCCATTAATTTTGTTCCGAACCAAGGTTAAATTCTGAATAGAAACTATAAGCCAATCAAATCAGTTTATTACAGCCATAAGACCAGATACCATAATATAACTAACAGGAGAACTATGGCATAAAGGTAAAAAAAAAATTGCCCTGTCCAGTCGTGTCTGACTCTAGGGCAGTAAAGGGAAAGGGAAAGGTTCCCCTCGCACATATGTGCTAGTGGTTCCCGACTCTAGGGGGCGGTGTTTATCTCCGTTTCAAAGCCGAAGAGCCAGCACTGTCCGAAGACGTCTCCATGGTCATGTGGCCGGCATGACTAAATGCCAAAGGCGCACAGAATGCTGTTATCTTCCCATCAAAGGTGGTCCCTATTTTTCTACTTGCATTTTTTTTTATGTGCTTTCGAACTACTAGGTTGGCAGAAGCTGGGACAAGTAACGGGAGCTCACCCTGTTATGTAGCACTAGGAATTCGAACTGCCGAACTGCCAACCTTTTGATTGACAAGCTTAGCATCTTAGCCACTGAGCCACCACATCCCTTTAGTAGTAGCCCCCAACTTTTTGGGCACCAGGGACCAGTTATGTGGAGACAGATTTTTCCACAGACTGGAAGGGGCTAGGTTTCACATGCTACCTGAATCCCATGGATGGGGATTCACTTGTTTGCGTGGCCTGGTTTCTAGCATGCCACGGACCGGGGGTTAGGGACCCCCTGCTCTAAGGGACAGCTCTCATGTCCATTTCCTAGTTGAGGTAGCCAGCATTGTCTGAAGATGCTTCCGTGTCCAACATGACTATATACCGAACATGGTTTCCTTCCCACCAAAGTGGTACCTATTTATCTACTTGCATTTGCATGCTTTCAAACCGGTAGGTGTTCAGGAGCTGGGGCAAGTAACAGGAACTCACCTCATCGTGCAGCACTTGGGTCTCGAACCTGGGCTGTCAGCTTCAGGGCCTTTAAGGGCCACTGAGCCATCTCACTCCAGAAGTATGACATATACCTATATGTATATAATAGAAAAACAATAGATATAACAAGAAATAAAGCAATTAAAGAACATGCATAATAAAATAAAACTGCATAAAAACCATACTATAAGAAGAACTTAATTCGTGGTATGGTGCATTGTACAAAAGGTAGCCCAAAATTGGGCAGTTAGAAACTATGCAGAGAACGTGGAAAAGTTCTCATCTTCTGCTCTGTTGCATCCCACAATTGAGCACTTACATATTTTTATTTGATGGTGATATTTTATTTACAGCAGCTAGGTATAAAATTGTAATGACCAGCTGAGGCTGGAACCAAGCAGATCCAAGTATGGTTTATCATGCTGCATGAATCCAGCTATCCTGAACCCTGCCTTGGTTTGCCCACGAGTGTGAAGTGATCCTCACCAACTTTATGTCAGCGTGTTCACACAAAAGCACGTGCCCACTCTTCCAAACAGTGTGGATACTGGCCACCCAAAGGCTGCCATCCTAGCTTAAGCCTGAGAAGAAACGATCAAAAGAAGATATGATTGTGACCTTAAACCATCCCGGAGTGTCTTTTTCAATGAGGATAAAAATCCAGGTCTGTTCTGTTCAACGGTGGGTTCCACATATTCTTACCACCAGTTTGCTGCGCGCACACAAGCACTGGGCCTCCTGCTCATGTGCCCAGTCCCAAAAATGTGGCTAAATACAACAGCATTATGCCAGGGCAAGTGGGTGGGTGGGAAGCAGTGGTGGATTTCAAAATCCACCACTTGGTGGGCATGGCATGGCTTGGTGGACGTGGCTTGGTGGGCGTGGCTTGGTGGGCATGGCAGGGGAAGGTTACTGCAAAATCCCCATTTCCTCCCGATCAGCTGGGACTTGGGAGGCAGAGAATAGATGGGGGCGGGACCAGTCAGAATTTTTACTACCGGTTCTCCAAACTGCTCAAAATATCCACTGCCAGTTCTCCAGAACTGGTCAGAACCTGCTGAAACCCACCTCTGATTCTGTTGCTCAAGAGGACAGAAACGCAGAGAATTTTTACACAATTTCCAAATAGCACGGGCAGTTTGACAATAGAACAGACTTCCGCTGTACCAAAACCAGTCAGCAGTCTTTCATTAGATGTGTGTAAGCAAAGTTGGACAGCCATGCGAGGGAGATGCTTTGATTTTATTCCAGATCATCTTTAATCGCCACTGAAATCCCTCCAACTCTATAATTCCGGTCGATTTTATCCGGAGAGACCAACTGGTCAGAACAAATATGGCAGCTTCTCAACCTACTGCTAAACCAGGATAAATTTGCCAGCTTTCTTGCTTCTCAACTCTCAGTAGAGTGCATTTAAAATAAGTTCAATTATGATATATTCAATAATTACAGTACAGAGCCTAATTCAGTGATGGCTAACCATTTTGCCATCGCGTGCCAAAAGCGGGGTAGTGGGGGGTGATTGCATGTGCGCGTCCCCACACCCATAATTCAATGTGCCTCGTCCCCCCACGCATGCACGCATGATCCCCCCGCTCTCCCCCCACTTTTGGCACGTGATGGCATGGTGGGCCTGGTAGGCCCATTTTTTTGCCCTCCCCAGGCTCCAGAGCTTTTCTAGGAGCCTGGGGAAGGTAAAAATGGGGAATCCCCATTCCCTCCCCACTCCTGGGGGAAGGATACTGCAAAATCTCCATTCCCACCCCACTCTGGGACCAGCCAGTGGCATTTGCTGGTTCTCTGAACTGCTCAAAATTTCCGCTACCGGTTCTCCAGAACCTGTCAGAACTGCTGGATTTCACCCCTATCCTATTCCCTCCCCACTCCTGGGAGAAGGATACCACAAAATCCCCTCCCCACTCCTGGGGGAAGGATACTGCAAAATCCCCATTTCCTCCTGATCAGCTGGGACTCAGGAGGCAGAGAATAAATGGGGGTGGGGAGAGTCAGAATTTTTACTACCGGTTCTTCGAACTTGCTCAAAATTTCTGCTACCGGTTCTCCCGAACCTGTCAGAACCTGCTGAATAGCACCCCTAGTGATGGCCCAGTATTCAACCTTCCTGCAAAACAGTCTCTTGGGCTCTGCCCTGCCCATGGTCTGCTGCCCATTATTGTTCATGCCAAGGATCTGCTGCTTGTCATACTAAGGGCTACACTTGGTTTTTGACTGCGGTGCTGGGAGAGACAGGCGCTCTTCAAGATAGGAGCCAGGTGTTGACAGAATCTAAATTTGACTCCATCCAAACTAAATCTCCTAAAGGCACTCCTGCAATTATGATTATTCTCCATATATTTAATTACTTCCTCTCTTAAATCTCATTAACTTTTACAATTCGGCAGCAAGTTTCAGACGGCCGTTAGGTAGGTAGAGAATAATTCTTCCATTTTTGTCTGCTTAATTATCACCAGGGTCACATTTTCATCAGTTGGTCTAAATGTCGGTCTAAACTTTCTCTGCAGCCACAACAGATGAACCAGTAGCAGCAGCTCCATCTGGATTTTAGCTCGTTCACCTTGAACGAAATGTTGGGCCTTTTTTTGAGGTCATTCCTAACCAGCCCCCTTCGGAATGTGAGTAAGGAGGGTTGTGATAGGAGGAAGGCTGATAAAAAGCCTCTTTGTGTAGTTGATAAGAGGGAGAAAACTGGCCTCATCTCCATTTTCACCTACTGCCAATTTCGCAGTCCATCCGAAAGGAACGAGTGGCTTTGTGCATAAAAGTGGCATCATGATTCAGTTGTTCTATTCTGTTTTCCAAAGGTAGGAGTAGAAAATAAAACAACTGATCAAGATCACGTGAAGTGTTAATACCACTTTCTAATACCTTGGTAAGGCCACACTTGGAATACTGCATCCAGTTTTGGTCACCACGATGTAAAAAAGATGTTGAGACTCTAGAAAGAGTGCAGAGAAGAGCAGCAAAGATGATTAGGGGACTGGAGATCAAAACCTATGAAGAACAGTTGCAGGAACTGGGAATGTCTAGTTTAATGAAAAGAAGGACTAGGGGAGACATGATAGCAGTCTTCCAGTATCTCAGGGGCTGCCCCAAAGAAGAGGGAGTCAACCTATTCTCCAAAGCACCTGAGGGCAGGACAAGAAGCAATGGATGGAAACTAATCAAGGAGAGAAGCAACTTAGAACGAAGGAGAAATTTCCTGACAGTTAGAACAATTCATCAGTGGAACAACTTGCCTCCAGAAGTTGTGAATGCTCCAACACTGGAAGTTTTTAAGAAGATGTTGGATAACCATTTGTCTGAAGTAGTGTAGGGTTTCCTGCCTGGGCAGGGGGTTGGACTAGAAGACCTCCAAGGTCCCTTTACAACTCTATTATTCTATTCTATTCTTTGTGGTTGATGAATTCTGCACAATAATAAACAGGCTCAGAGATTGCCTGATATATTATAATAGTTTTTTTGGGGAAACTTCCTATTTTCCCCTGTATTTCATGTAGAAGAGAGAAAAAAAATCAGCCTATCTTTTTGGCAATCGGGTTTTCCCCAGGGCGGAGGGGGAGGGGGGCAAAAAAAAAACAGAGGAAGAGAGAATATTTTTGAATTGGCTTCTACTAAATCAAAGCTTGTTTACCGATTAATTAATTTGACAAATATCCCGCCTTCCCGTGAAGCGAGCTGCGTAATAGATCACTACTAATAACCCGAGAAAAATACAAGTTGGCATTTTATAAAGTTGGCACGATAACTTAACATTCAGTTCCGTGCATGCGTTTCAGAAGGGAGATCGAGGCAGTGGTGGGATTCAAGTAATTTAACAACTGGTTCTCTGCCCTAATTATTTCTTCCAACAACCAGTGTGCCAAACTGCTCAGAAAGTTAACAACCGGTTCTCCCGAAGTGGTGCGAACTGGCTGAATCCCACCACTGGATCCAGGGCATCATAAACCTGTGAACATAATTCAGCTGATGTCTCAGAGTCACCAACTATGGTCAAACAAATCAAACCATATTATGGTTCACCGTGAAGGCCATGTGGATCTCCCTATTTCAACCTCATCTACTAAGTGGAGTTACTATTATATTACTCTGTAGGTAAGGAAGCTTTTCTCCTTGGTAATTGGGCACGTGCTTAAAGGACTTAATTTATAAGTGGGAAACTTGCAATCTTGCAGAGGTTACGGAAGTAGAATTCTTAACATTGTTCCCTACAGGTGGTCCTTGACATATGGCCAACATGTCAGGGGTGCTGCAGCAGCCATAACTTCAGGACAGAATCATAAGTTCCAGAGGAGGATCTACAGTAACTTCAAATGGCTGCAATCAATTGCTAAGTGAGGACTACCTTTATAAGAGGGACACAGTGGGTCAGTGGCTAAGACGCTGAGCTTGTCAATCTAAAGGTCGGCAGTTCAGCAGTTCGAATCCCTAGTGCCGCGTAACGGGGTGAGCTCCCGTGACTTGTCGCAGCTTCTGCCAATCTAGCAGTTCGAAAGCACGTAAAAAATGCAAGTAGAAAAATAGGGACCACCTTTGGTGGGAAGGTAACAGTGTTCCATGCGCCTTCAGCATTTAGTCATGCCGGCCACATGACCACGGGGACATCTTCGGACAGCGCTGGCTCTTCGGCTTTGAAACGGAGATGAGCACCACCCCCTAGAGTCGGGAACGACTAGCACATATGTGCGAGGGGAACCTTTACCTTTACCTTACCTTTATAAGACTGGCTTATTGGAGCCAAGGACATCCTGCTCTTCTATCTCAAAGGAAGTGGTCAGTGGGGATTGGACAGCATTTTTTAACCAGAAAGGATAGGCTGATCCAGGGCTTGTTAAAAAGAGATGAAATCTATCTCTTGCGTGACTCTTTTTCATACATCTCTATTTCTGTGTACTTGTATCCAATTTGTTTTATCTGGTATTGCTTCACACTTCAATTATTTTTATGTGAGAAATCAAAGCACATTACACACTCAAACATTAGGCTCGGTAATCAATAGCGCCTACGTCCAGCTCTTTGTGAGTTTGCAATCTCCTGTTCTTGTCTTCGCAGCCGCTGAAGGGAGGCTAAGGAAGGAATGATCACATTAAGTCTACTTAGAACATTAATGACTCGGACAAGCTTCAAATTCAGGAGTTTAAGAGTCCAAGCCAATATCCTATGTCTTGTATCACACTTCCTCTCCTGTTGAGGTAAGGAATATTTCTCTGTGTACTTTGGCTTGCATTACACTCAGAGTCATTTCAATTTTTCACTTCAAGACAGATTGGCACCTTATTTTACTGCAAAGCATTTTCAAAGTTTTTTTTTTTTAACCCAATCAAAATACAGTTGGAGCATTGCTGATCCTGTTTTCCGCAGGATCTATCACTATCCTTCTTTGATGTTGCAATTTACATATTTATTGGACTTCAATTCTTGAGTGGCACAGTGGCTAGGGTGGAAGACGCTCATCTCCCACTTGGAAGGTAGAGAATTCAATCCTAGGCGGTGGCAGGTGTTTCTCTATCAGGCCGCAAAGAGAAAATATCTGCTGCGAACCTGGCATAGGTGTCAGGAAGGGCATCCGGCCAGTAAACGCTCAGCTCCATTCAGTCATCCTGACTCCACCCCAAAGCAAAGGATTACAGGATGACAGTGTTGAAATCCAATTTTTTTTACTACCGGTTCTGTGGATGTGGCTTGGTGGGTGTGGCTTGGTGGGCGTGGCTTGGTGGGCGTGGCAAGGGAAGGATACTGCAAAACCTCCATTCCCACCCCACTCCAGGGGAAGGATACTGCAAAATCCCCATTCCCTCCCCACTCCTGGGGGAAGGATATTGCAAAATCTCCATTCCTACCCCACTCTGGGGCCCCACAGAGGTGGTATATGCCAGTTCTCTGAACTGCTCAAAATTTCCACTACCGGTTCTCCAGAACCTGTCAGAACCTGCTGGATTTCACCCCTGCAGGGTGGTAAAAAGAAAAAAAAAATGGACTTCAGCTCTTGTTGGAAGTTGTGCAATTGACATCCATCACAATGCAATGTAAAGATTTTGCAGTTCTTGCAGTCCAGCTCATGATCTGCTTAAATTGACACAAATTGGCTAGGCTTTTAAGGAAGCTGATGAAGCAGCCTGATAAAATGGTGATTGGGCAATATATGCCCTTCCCCAGTGTGTCTTCCCTTGATTTCTCCAGCAATTCTCCAACTCTATGTTGATGCTCCATAATAGCAATACTGGGATGTTTGCATGGCTCAGTTTTTAAAGTAAGTAAAAAAAAATAGTGACATACAGCTCGAGTCTTTCTTTCTCCCTTCTGGGGGTCCTCCAAATAATTTAAAGTTCTACAACTCCAGAATTTCCAGCGGCAATTTAACAGAATTCACTTTCTTGCCATAATTCCAAACGGGGGGAAAAAGTTCATTTTTATCCCATTGAAAATATTGCTAGAGAAGAAATTCAGCTAGAAATATCTTAGAATATCTCTGCACTCCTTTGAAAATAATGGATCTAAGGAAGCTAAGCATGAATAGAAAATTCCCTGGCTTTAGGTTTTAAAAGGAAAAGTTCCAACAAACTGAAGAAGCTGGGTGAAAAACCAATGCTTCCTTTTCTTTTGAGGTGACCATTAAGAAGGCCCTGAGATTTATTTCTAGTTTTGACTTTGGTAGAGATTCACTGGTATCTGTTTATTCTCCTTGGTTCTTCTGCCATTTGACTTGGGCCTTTATTTGTACTTTTCAAAAATAGATTTCTGTAATTATATTATTTTATGCAGCTTATTTATGTTGCTTCATCTTGAATCCTAGCCATAAGTTTATCAGATCAAAACCAGAGAATTAAGAGGGTTGGTTAGGTCTTCCTAGGATTTGTGCTCTTTGTGTGTGTCTATGTGTGTGTTTGTGTGTCTCTGTGTATATCCATGTGTCTCTTCTCTGTGAGTGAAGTACACGGGGGCTGGTGAGCAGTTCTCCACAGGAGCTCCACTTTTATCCAAAAATAAATGAAAGGTTTCATAACAGGATTTCTTTTTATCGGAAAAAAATAAAGGGATTCCATTAATAAGTGCAAAATCTTCTGTGTTTTTCAAATACTGCTTGGTTACTGGAGGTTGCCCTCCCCAGGCTCTGGAGGCTTTTCTTAAGCCTCCGGGAGGGTGAAAATCGCCTCCCCAGGCTCTGGAGGCCCTCTGGAGGCCAGAAATGGGCCCATTTCCGGCCTTCCCGAACTTCCGGTAGGCCCGTTTTTCATCCTCCTTGAGCCTCCACGCGCACCCTGCACTTATCTGCATCCAAAACGGGCCGCGTGGGGACTCCTGAGAGGGGAGGGGTGGGCAGGGCCAGCCAGGAGTGGGATTTGAGGTTTCTCCGAACTGCACAGAATCTTAGCTAGAGGTTCTCCCAAACCCGTGTGAACCCCCAGCAGCCCACCCCTGCCCTATAACAATAAAGCAGCATTCTTATAATCCTTGCTGTCTCTTTCTTGATTTGGCCTTATCTCAAAAGAACTGACATTAATTCTATTTAATTTCTTTCTTTTTGTATTCTATTTTAACTCTTTACAATTCTTTTTATGATTGTTTTGCCTCTCAAAGCAGCGGCTCCCGACCTTTTGTGTACCAGGGACCGGTTCCATGGGGAAAGGTTTTTCCAAGAATCGGAGAGGTGGTGGTTTTCCATGCTGCCTGCATCACGTGGGTGGGGCTTCACTTGTTTGCGTGGCCCGATTTCTGGCATGCTGCAGCCCGGTGCCAACCCACGGACTGGGTCTGGGGACCCTGACTCAGAGTTTCCAGTTTGAGATGGATGTTTATACAAATTGACTGGATGGATGGATGGTAGATGATAGCTAGATAGTAGATAGCTGGACAGCTGGAAAGCATGGGCATATGCTTTCCTATGTGCATGGACAGTACTTCCATTGGAACCACCAATGCTGCAAAATATCTATCCATGTTCAGGATATTTACTGAGCCATGGTGGCGCAGTGGTTAGAGTGCAGTACTGCAGGCTACTTCTGCTGACTGCCAGCTTCCTGCAATTCAGCAGTTCAAATCTCACCAGGCTCCAGGTTGACTCAGCCCTTCCATCCTTCCAAGGTGGGTAAAATGAGGACCCAGATTGTTGGGGGAAATATGCTGACTCTGTAAACTGCTTAGAGAGGGCTGTAAAGCACTGTAAAGAGGTATATAAGTCTAAATGCTTTTGCTAGTGCTACCCCATGGAGACAGCTCGGAAGAATTTTCATTCAATCTTCGCAAAAGATTCTGAGATACATTTTGTTCTGGCTAATGCATTTTGCAAAATGCTTCTTTGAAATGTCTTGTGCAATTTTACTGAATAAATCCGGGTAAGGTTTTTTGGGGGGAAGAAAGGGGTAATTCTGACACTTCAGTTGGTAAAGTTAAGGAACCAAAAGAGGGAAGTGGAGATTATTTTATGGGTAAAGTGAATCATCACCGTGTAAGTGCCCATGAAAATGTACTATAATCGCCCGAGAACACTCATCGAAAGATATGGATCCACTTTCCCTGAACTGCTATTCTGCAAATGTTTTGGATGTCAGTTCACATCATTATCAGCCCACGTGGCTTGCAATCACAAATATCAAGAGACAAGTAGGCTGAGGAAAACAATTCTACTTATTTTTATAAGGTAAGAGTTACGATATTTTTTTCCTGTTCTGTAGCCCAACCATGGCCGGAGATTCAAGGATCTTCATGAATCAAGATATGGAAATTGGTGTCAGCCCCAGAGAGCAAAAGAAGATTCCCAAACAAGCCCGGGATGATGTCCCAATTGCCACAGATCGAACACGTCTTTTGGTAGCTGAAATCAAGAAACCACGCCAGAGATACATGGAAAAAACGGGCAAGTGCAACGTTCATCACGGAAATGTCCAGGAAACCTACCGATATCTCAGTGATCTTTTCACCACTTTGGTGGATCTCAAGTGGCGCTTTAATCTGCTTGTGTTTACCATGGTTTACACCATCACTTGGTTGTTTTTTGGTTTCATTTGGTGGCTCATTGCCTACATCCGGGGAGATTTAGACCATGCGGAAGATGAAGATTGGATCCCTTGCGTTGACAACCTCAGTGGGTTTGTCTCTGCCTTTCTGTTCTCCATTGAGACCGAGACCACCATTGGTTATGGCCATAGGGTGATCACTGAAAAATGTCCTGAGGGTATCATATTGCTTTTGGTCCAAGCAATCCTGGGCTCCATAGTCAATGCTTTCATGGTGGGGTGCATGTTTGTGAAGATCAGCCAACCAAAGAAGAGGGCAGAGACCCTCATGTTCTCTAACAACGCTGTGATTTCGATGCGGGATGAGAAATTGTGTCTCATGTTCCGAGTTGGAGATCTAAGGAATTCCCACATTGTAGAGGCATCTATTCGAGCCAAGATGATTAAATCCAAACAGACCAAAGAAGGGGAATTCATCCCCTTGAACCAAACGGACATCAATGTGGGATTTGACACAGGAGATGACAGGCTGTTTTTGGTATCCCCGCTCATCATTTCGCATGAGATTAACGAGAAGAGTCCCTTTTGGGAGATGTCCCGTGCCCGGCTGGAGAAGGAAGAGTTTGAAATTGTCGTCATTTTGGAAGGCATGGTGGAAGCAACAGGTAAGGCTTCAGACTGTGTGGGTGGCTAGTTTTCCTAAAAGGTAACGGTGAAGGTTTCACCTGTCCGGTTGTGCTCAATTCTGTTTCCTAGTTGAGGTAGCCAGTGTTGTCCAAAGTCCCTTCTGGTCACATGGCAGGCATGACTATACACTGATGTTCATGGAATGCTGTTATTTTTGATAAAGGTGACGTCAAACATTCAGTTGATTTTGATAACTCATAAAGATATGAGCCCATGGAGTATGTTTTTCCATCTCCATTATTTTAAGATTCTGGAGATTGGGAGGCAGCACAACGGTGCATTAATCAACTAAAACATTTTACCTTTTTTTTTTTAACCTTTATAGTCAATTATTGTCTTTGCAGAAGGCAGAAACTATCCTTAACTCAGGGGTGGGCTGTTGCTGCTGATTCGACTGGTTCAGGCAAACCGGTAGTTCCGAGAATCAGATGGCCCCACCATCTGCGTCCTATCCTGTCCTTTATTTCCTTCTTTCTGGCTCAGCTGATTCATGCAACACAGCTGATTTCTGCACCTCCGCTGTTCTACTTACTGGGGATGCCTTAGAACAGTGTTTCTCAACCTTGGTAGCTTGAAGATGGGTGGACTTCAACTCCCAGAATCCCCCAGCCAGCGCTGCTGGCTGGGGGATTCTGGGAGTTGAAGTCCACCCATCTTCAAGCTTCCAAGGTTGAGAAACACTGCCTTAGAAGGAAAGCAGCTGAGCTTCAAATGGCTGTATTTTGAATGCTGTGCGCAAGCTCACAGAACCAGTTGTTAAACTGATTGCAGCCCACCACTGCCTTAACTGACCTCCATAACTAAGCAGGGTCAGCTTCGGTTAGTAACAGAGAATTTCCAGGCCTTGGGTTGGAAGTGATCTGGTTGGGTGTGCTGTTTATTTTATTTATTTTATTTTATTTCAAATTTATATACCGCGCCTTCTCCCAAGGGACTCAGGGCGGTGTACAGCCAGATAAAAACATACAATACAAACATTAAGAACAATTAAAAGAATATATATTAATTTGGCCCCAGTTTAAAATGACAAACCAATTAAAAATTTAAAATTTAAAAATATGTTAAGCCAGCCCGCTTGATGAAAAAAGAAAGTTTTAAGGGCACGGCGGAAGGCACCAAGGTCTTGGATTCTCCTTATCTCAGGGGGCAGCTGGTTCCAGAGGGTAGGTGCCCCCACAGAGAAGGCCCTCCCCCTGGGGGTTAACCAGCCTACATTGTTTGGCTGATGGCACCCCGAGGAGGCCCTCTCTGTGGGAGCGCACGGGTCAATGGGAGGTTGTCGGTAGCAGCAGGCGGTCTCGAAGATAACTAGGTCCTATGCCATGGAGTGCTTTAAAGGTGGTAACCAACACCTTGAAGCGCACCCGGAAGACCACTGGGAGCCAGTGCAGCTCTCGCAGGAGCGGTGTTATGTGAGAGCGCCATGCAGCTCCCGTAATTACCGGCGCAGCCGCATTCTGGACCAGTTGGAGCCTCCAGGTGCTCTTCAAGGGGAGCCCCATGTAGAGAGTGTTGCAGTAGTCCAGGCGAGAGGTGACGAGGGCATGAGTGACTGTGCACAGGGAATCCCGATCAAGAAAGGGTCACAACTGGTGAATCAGGCGAACCTGACAAAAGGTCCCCCTGGCTACAGCCATCAGATGTTCCTCCAAAGACAGCTGCCTATCCAGGAGGACTCCCAGATTGCGCGCCCTCTCCGAGGGGGCCAAAGACTCGCCCCCAATAGTCAGCGATGGAGTCAGCTGACTATATCGGGATGCCGGGAACCACAGCCACTCAGTCTTGGAAGAATTGAGCTTGAGCCTGTTCCTCCCCATCCAGATCCGCACAGCCTCCAGGCACTGAGACATCACTTCAAGGGCATTGTTGGGGTGCTGTTGTCCCACACGTGACGGTTTTTATACATGGTTGTTTCTTTTAACTGGTAAGGCTGTTTAAAGTCATTTTGGAGTTAATGTATGGTAATAGAAACTTTAAAAACTGACAAGCCTTTCTCTATTTCAATTCACAATCCAGGTGGGACTTGTTTTGAACTTGGTGTTTTCTTTTGTTTCTCAAACTGCTTTATACTTTCTTAGGACTGAGATATCTTTTTGTAATGGCTTCACATTTTTTATCTATCTCTCATCTATCTCTCTACCTCTATCTCTCTACCTCTATCTCTCTACCTCTATCTCTCATCTATCTATCTATCTATCTATCTATCTATCTATCTATCATCTATCATCTATCATCTATCTATCTCAGTGGTGGTTTTAAAATTTTTTTACTACCAGTTCTGTGGGTTTGGCTTGGTGGGCGTGGCAGGGGAAGGTTACTGCAAAATCCCCATTTCCTCCCATTTAGCTGGGATTCAGGAGGCAGAGAATAGATGGGGGCGGGGCCAGTCAAAATTTTTACTACCAGTTCTCCGAACTACTCAAAATTTCCACTACCGGTTCTCCAGAACTGGTCAGAACCTGCTGAAACCCACCTCTGATCGATCGATCTATCTATCTATCTATCTATCTATCTATCTATCTATCTATCTATCTATCTATCTATCTATCTACCTACCTACCTACCTACCTACCTACCTACCTACCTATCTATCTATCTATCTATCTATCTATCTATCTATCTATCCCTCTAGTTTCTAGACCACCCATTTCTCTCAATCTCCTGGCATTAAAGCAAAATCCAACCCAACCACACATCAACCAAGATGAAAAAAAATAGTAATATTGTAAACTTTAGGTAGGAAGCATGACCAGCTAATCTAATTCTACTTTATTGCAAAGCTACATTAGTAGAACCTGGCAAGTCTGAAAGTATAATTCTCCCATTGACCTTTTACAGCTCAAGAAACTGGCGAAGGTCTCTTCTGAGACCCTTGCCTCACTATTATGGGTGATGCTGTCCCTTACCTGACTATTCTCTAGGCAACACCTCCTCTCCCCATCTCTTAAGGTCTTTTCCACCTACCATCACAAATATTGAGACAGTTACTCTTGCAATTAGCTGGTCCACTCTTTATACTTGTTCCCTGGATCTTCTCCTTCAAAATTTCCTTGTTTTCAGGCTTTTTCAAGGACAAGCTCTTGCAAACCAAAAACACTCCTGTATCATGCTCAGTTCAATCAACCATAGCTTCAACCAATAATGGAAAGTTCTAATTGGAATGGACACTATCATTTGAGCATCCTCATTTCCTCGTTTTAGGAAACACTAAACAGTTGTGGAGATACCTAATATAGTTCTAGGTATTCATGATCCTAGACAGATAACCCGTAATTTCATAGCAAGTAAGAATGCGTGAAGAACTTTCTTTGTTGGCCATATATGCATTACTGAACTGAAATTTAATTTAATGAATTGGGCAGTCTACTGGTTGGTGAAGACCAACAATCTTTAGGATGAGCTAGAAGATGCATCTATTTGTGAGTAATGTAGAAGTATCCCATGGCCATTATTTCAAACAGGATTCTGAATTAAATCAGCCATTTATTTAATAATGATGTTTATAACTCAGCCTTCAAAAAGGTTACTTGTAACTCAAGATTACTTTTTGGGATGTGGGTCATAAAGAGGTTAATGCTATGTCCAAATCAATTACCTTTATTTCTTTGGCATTCTGGAATATTAATACAACATTTATCCACTGATGACATTAATTGCAGATTCTATCTTTGACATTTGCTGGAATCAGCTTGAGCTGCCTTCTCTTTGGTGATGAGTGATTAAACTATGGATTCCTCTTAGCAATTCTGACAGCTGCTTCTCCTTTTATTTGGTGAAACTAGTTTAACCTTGGTTTTCTTCTGGGTGATTTTTAAAACCTTCATTATCTGAAGTTTTTGGATGATTCCATGTCCAGGGATATAGAAAAGGTCAACCAGTAGTAGGTCTAACTTGGAAATTAAGTACTGTCCTGTTTCAAAAAAAAGAATGCTATACTATTTCCCCTGACTTTAAATCTAATAAAACAATTCTCTGAAATGTTGTTGCTCCAGAATGAATAATAGCCAAGGAAGCAAGGGGTTGATAACTGACTAGGTGGATCAGTGGCTAAGACACTGAGCTTGTCGATCAGAAAGGTTGTCAGTTCGGCGGTTTAAATCCCTAGTACAGGTCTCTGTACTCATTCTTCTATTGGTCATCAAGACTTAAACCATGATTGGGTGTCGATATTTTGGTTTTTGCAGAAGTTAATTCAGGACAGCTTTGAACGCAAACAATGGTCCTACGGAAATACCCTCAGTCCCACAATATCAGTATGTCAGAGTCAGAATAAAAACAACCTTAAATTAATCTTGGCGGATTCATTTTCTAATTTTGCTGTCCAGAACCTGCTTTCTCAAATCTGCCCTTCATGTTTTTGAAGTGTAATTGGAAAGAAGGCTTTCCAGACTGCTTAAATGAATGTATAATCATAAGCTGAACTAAAGCTGAAGTCTTATATAATTTACCCAGGAGAAAATCACATTAGATTCACTGGGATTTACCTTGGAGTGAAAATGGGGGGTTTTTTGCACTGTATTGAGGACTGTTAAGTCACTTACCGGATCATTTTCGTGTGCCAATTACTCCCTCTAAGAACTTCACACATGCTGTCTATCCCTTGACGATCATGTTAGTGAGAAGCTGGATCTGAATGTCAGCAGTCGGATGATCTGCCAAATATCTGACAATCCAAAGAATATTTGGAGATTTCAAGTGAAGGCAAATTTGCAAAGCTTTGTTGTAGAATATTTAAAGGGATTCAAAATCCATGTTCGTTTGGAATACGGACATCTTTTAACAGAGTCTATGGATGTGTGTGTTTACATTTGATGACTTCATTTTTCTTCGTGGTTTCCTAGGAAATAGGGAAAGCCCTCAGCTACAAAGAAGGGGGGGGGGAAAGACATTATACAGGTAGTCCTCTATTTAAAACAGTTGGTTTAGTGACTGTTCAAATTCACAACGGCACTGAAAAAAGTGACTTATGACCATTTTTCACACTTACAACCATTGCAGTATTCCCACAGTCATGGGATCAACATTCAAATGCTTGGCAACTTGTTCTTATTTATGACCGTCGCTCAGAGGTGGGCTTCAAAAATGTTAGCAAGGGGTTCTCTGCCCGGTTGCTGGCTGGACTTGGCCATGGTGGGCGTGGCCTAGGCCTCCTGCACCATGGGGGGCATTTTTGCCCTCCCCGGGCTCCAGAGGCTTTCCTTGAGTCTCTGGGAGGGCGAAAATGGCCTCCCCAGGCTCCAGAGGCCCTCTGGAGGCTGGAAACGGGCCTGTTTCCGGCCTTCCCGATCTTCCGGTAGGCCCATTTTTTGCCCTCCCCAAGCCTCCACGTGTGCCCTGCACCCACTTACCTGCATCCAAAATGGGCCGCGTGGGGACTCCTGGGAAGGGTGGGTGGGGCAGGGCCAGCCAGGAGTGGGATTTGGGGGTTCTCCGAATGCTAGAGGTTCTCCCGAACCCCTGTGAACCCCCAGCGGCCCACCCCTGCTGTCGCTGTGTCCCAAGGTCATGTCATCCCCTTTTGTGATCTCCTGATGAGCAAAGTCAATGGGGAAACCAGATTCACTTAACCTCCAGGTTACTAATTTATCATCTGCTGTGATTCGCTTAAGAAGTGTGGCAAGAATGGGCGTAAAATGGGACAAAACTCACTTAACAAATGTCCCACTTAACAGAAATGTTGGGCTCAGTTGTGTTTCTTAAGTCGAGGACTTAAAAGCAAAATAATACCAAGAGAGAGAGAGAGAGAGAGAGAGAGAGAGAGAGAGAGAGAGAGAGAGAGAGAGAGAGAGAGAGGTTGTGTGCTCTTTGTGTGCTCCACTTTGTCTTAAAGTATTTGTTCCAATTTGTCTTGAGTTGCATAATGAATGCATTGGCTCATTCAATTACAGAACATTAAAAAGTATAATTTTGGGCAGCTATTGTTCGCTTTTCTCCAAGCTTCCAGAACATTCTCTGTTGACAATTGGCCACTCGTAGATTTATTGCTTTCAATTTTCAAATAATAGCCTTGAAACACAGACTTTTGGTACGGGTTTACTCCTTGGAGGGTATCTTTGGATTGCAAAGGAAAGCAAACATTAATCAGTTTTATAATACAGCAGCAGCTTTACTATGAGTTTGCCTGTCTCTTGTCAGGTGCAGAGAATCAGTATCAAATGTTAAGTTCCAGTTGAGCTAATTTATTGCTCTTGCTTATACACAAGACTCTAGTCAACTAACGGTCAGTGATCAATTGGCACTAGATAATGTTGGAAGAAGAAATGTCCATCTGGGTTCAGTTCCAAGTGGGGAGAAAGATACTGGAAACATGGAGGCTGATTGGAAAGATGGTTTATTGATGGACAGGACCACGTGGGTTTTAGGTCCTAGGCAGCTGAGCAAATGGAGTAGAGAGAAGGTGTTATTTATACCTTCTCTTGGGCCTTGCCCTTGAGCTTCCTGTTCCCGTGCAAGAAATGTATTCTATTGGCTCCCATGGGGCCATGTGGGTTCATGTTTGTCTTGAAGTCAAGTTGAGTTGAAGTGTGCTAATGCAATGAAGGGGCTGAGGCAGTGGTGAAATCTGAAATGGTTTACTACCGGTTTGCTGGCTGTGCATGTGCGCAGAGCACACACATGCGCAGTGCATACCACGCCCACCAAAAGGAGGCATGGAGTAAGTAGAACAGCGCGCAAGGGGGGGTGATCAGCTGTGGCACGCAATTTTTTTTTTTTTTACTTTTAAAAGCATTTTTTTACACTGTATTTGGCTGAATAGGTTGTAAAAAAAATTATTTTAAAAGTAAAAAAAAAAGGCTCTGACGATCAGGCAATTCGGCTGTGATCATCAGAGCCTTTTTCTTACCTTTTAAAAGCCTTTTTTAAAAGAAGCGCCAAGCAGGCGACTGGGTAATTGGATGGGCATGGGGGGGCAGGGATTTTTGCTACCGGTTCTCCGAACCACCTGCTGCCATCGCTACCAGATCGGGCGATCCGGTCCAAACCGGGAGCATTTCACCCCTGGGCTGAGGGTTTGTTCAGAACTTGCTGCTGGGGGTAATGGATTACCAAATCTGCATTTTTAAAGGCTGGCCTCAGCTTAGTATCTGCTTGGGGGGCAGGGAGCTGAGGCTCTGAGTTTCTGTCTTTAGAAACACATTTCTCCTTTAGGGAAAATATAATATTCTGATGTTTTAAATATGTCTCAAAGTATTTCATTCATCTAGGAGACGGGTGGGGGCTAACTTTCTACAATAAGAATTAACTTATTAACTTATTCAAGAGGGGCTGGATATAGACTGTTTGCAGCGGTGGGTTTCACATAACCTTGCCACCGGTTTGCCCTGCGTGTGCAGGCTCGCTTCACGCACACGTGCGCCTTCCATGCTTGTGCTATGCTCGCCCGCGTGCCTTCTGCACATGCAGCAAACCTCGAAAACGTGGCTAAATAGGATGGTATTACACCGGGGCAGGTGGGCGGCCACCCGCAGTCGCCGCTACCAGTTCATCCAAACTGGTACGAACCGGCTGAATGCCACCTCTGACTGTTTGTGGGAATGTAATGACTCTAGGCTATTTCCTCTCTTGACTCCACCCCTAGGCTCTTTCTGTCCTTCTCGTACATCCTTGATGCTACTATGGCAAAACTCATAGGCATTTTTTTTTCTCCCCGTTCAGTCGTGTCTGATCCTTGGAGACTGGACCCTGCAGTTTTCTTTGCAAGGATTTTTAGAAGTAGTTTGCCATTGACAAGAAGCAGCGGATGGAAACTAATCAAGGAGAGAAGCAACCTAGAACTAAGGAGAAATTTCCCAACAGTGAGAATAATTAATTAGTAGAACAAGTTTTTTAAGAAGAGATTGGACAGCCATTCGTCTGAAGTGGTGTAGGGTTTCCTGCCTAAGCATAGGGTTGGACTAGAAGACCTCTAAGGTCCCTTCCAACTCTATTCCATTCTAACTTTGAGAAGCAGTGGTAAAATGTTTTGGTTCAAGTATAGAGAGAAAGTTATTGATGTGCACCTTATATTTTTCCATTGTATCATCAGGGAAGGCTACGCTTTTAGTATTCACTAGATCTACTAAATCTCTGCTTTGTTTATTTATTCTCTCCTGCAGGGATGACTTGCCAGGCTCGGAGCTCCTACATGGACAAAGAAGTGCTTTGGGGGCATCGTTTCACCCCTGTCCTTACCCTAGAGAAGGACTTTTATGAGGTTGACTACAACAGTTTCCACAATACCTACGAAACCAACACACCTTCTTGCTGTGCCAAAGAACTGGCTGAGTCTTTCAAAGAAGGACGGCTTCTCAGCCACCTCTCTACCACCAACCTCCTGAATGGCGAGGAAAACGAAGAAGCAGAAGTGGAGAAAGAACAGCGGGAAGGGATGGAGAAAGAAGACAACAGGAACGACGGCCTAGAGGCAATTGAACTGAATGGAAACAATGGCACCACAGGGGAAATGAAGGAGAGCCTGTTTTTAAAACATTGAGACTTGAGAATGATCGAAAATTCAGATTCCCTTGCCACCGAGGAGGCAGAAGAAGAAGAAGAAATGGGACAACCTAAGTCTAGAGCAGTGATGGCTAACCTTTTTGCTGCCGCGTGCGAAAAGCGGGGGGAGCACGAGGGGGTCACGTGTGCGCATGTCCATACTCATAATTCAATGCACCCCACCCCCCACACACATGCACGCATGATCCCCCCGCTCTTCCCCCACTTTTAGAATGGAATGCCACGGTGGGCCCGGTAGGCCTGTTTTTCACCCTCCCCAGGCTCCAGAAGCTTTCTAGGATCCTGGGGAGGGTGAAAACAGCCTTCCCTACCCCCTCGGAGGCCCTCCAGAGGCCAGAAACATCCCATTTCCCAATTTACAGTGGGCTTGGAAGTCCCGAAAATCAGCTGGCCGGTGCACGCATGCGTGCTGGAGCTGAGCTAGGGCAACGCTCACGTGCCCACAGATATGGTTCCACGTGCCACCTGTGACACGTGTGCCATAGGTTTGCCATCACGGGTCTAGAGGATAATGTTCTCACTCGCTTGGATATTATTGGATTGAGCTGTACCCCTCCATATAATTTGCTTTTCTCCAACTCCGTTCCGGAGATTACTATAAGGATTTTACTCACTGTTTTGAGGACACGTGAAAACTAACCAACTTAAGGAAATATAATGGAAGCGTAGATGATCACATATCTTGAAGCTTGTTAGTTTTTCTTTTTCTTGCAACATGCATCTTCTGCGCATTTTGAAAGGAGGAAGGGAAATATGATGGAACAAATATAGTTATGAGGGGTTTCTTTTCTCCCCCTTCCTTGATTTATTGGAAATGCTAATTGATGAATAAAAAGAGGAAAAGGATCATGGGAGTCGGGAACAGGCCTTCTGTATTTGGCCAAATGTCTGTTGTAAACTTTCTATGTGATGGGATATAGATGTGATTGTTTATCTTTGAGGGTTCTTTCTACTGCGAATTCAGCTAAAATACGAAGGAATATCATTTAGTGGAGGAAAGGAACTCATTTGCTGATCTGAAGTAGGAGGGGATTAGTTTTCCTGTTATGATTTTTGTGAGAGTTAAACAAGAACAACTCATATAGTAGCTTCAAATGAATAAGGAACTCAACTGGCTAACTGGTTTTGGGTTCTAAAGCTGGGGTCTCCAACCTTGGCAACTTTAAGCCTGGAGGACTTCAACTCCCAGATTTCTGGGAGTTGAAGTCCACCAGGCTTAAAGTTGTCAACTTTGGAGAGCCCTGTTCTAAAGGACATTTTAAAGCAGGTTTTTTTTGTTTTTTTTTTACTTCTCAGATTTCTATCCTGCCTTAACCCCTGGTATTCAAGCTAGCATCCATAACATGTCCTCCTTCAACAATTCCACTGATACTTTCATCTACCTTCTGGGTTAGTTTATGAGAGATAGAGTTTAGGTTCCAAACTCCCAAAGCCACTGAAGCTGGACCTGAACCACCAAAGGAAGGTTTAAATGTTGGCATGAAATTATCAAGCCTAGTTTCCAAGATTTATATTTTATTATAGTCATTAAAATGTCAACACAAATAAATATAATTCATGTTAGGTTTATTCATCATATCTACAGTATGTTGGCCAGATTGTCAGAGCACTGCATCATAAAGAGGAAGGGAGCAGCTGTCTTAAGAAAGCATAAGATTGATATAAGACTTAAGATATAATCAATTTATTTTTAGTTCATTCAGGATAAGACACATAATCAGATTCTAAGCAATTATTGGGGGTTGGATAGGAAAAATCTGAAATGATGGGAACTAGAAGACTAGAATAAAAAGGTGAAAGACCTGAACAGCAACATACACATTGCACCATCTGTTCCTCAAATGCTGTTAAAAAAATCCCCAACTGTTTTGATGCAATTTCTTCCTTGCATTTGTCAATAGACCGTATGGTACATGGCCCTTTTACAGCAAAGATTTTGAAGTGGGGAGTCCTTGCAGTTACTTTGTAAAAATAAAGACTGAACTGGACTTTGAATGAACTTGTGTGCCTTATCAAATTTGTCATACTGTCCGCAACACTTTTCTGGTGCCTCCTATGACATAGATTTTGTGGCCTTTTCCCAAATCCAGTGACGGGATTCAGCTGGTTCAGGCCGGTTCAGGCGAAACCAGGGGTGAAATCCAGCAGGTTCTGACAGGTTCTGGAGAAGCGGTAGTGGAAATTTTGACCAGTTCGGAGAACCGGTAGCGGAAATTTTGAGTAGTTTGGAGAACCAGCAAATACCACCTCTGGCTGGCCCCAGAGTGGGGTGGGAATGGAGATTTTTCAATATCCTTCTCCTGGAGTGGGGTGGGAATGTAGATTTTGCAGTATCCTTCCCCTGCCATGCCCACCAAGCCACACCACGACCACTAAGCCAGTAGTAAAAAAAATTTGGATTTCACCACTGGGTGAAACAGTTGTTAAATTGCTGGCTGGCCTCACCCCTCCACTCCCCACCCCTTCCAGGAGTCTCCGCATACCCCATTTTAGCTCCCAAGTAAGTGCAGGGAGGCGTACTAGAACCAAAATGGGATATGGGGGGTACAGCATGGTGCCTCATGGCCCGTTTTTGCTCCCAGGAGGTTGCAGGGAGGCCTACTAGGCCAAAAATGGGGCACAAGGGGTGCAGCACGGCCCCCCGTGGCCCATTTTTGCTCCCAAGGGGGTGCAAGAGGCCAAGTACTGCCTCTCACACCCGCTGGCCACGCCCACCATCACCACACCCATCCAGCTGGTCATTAGGGCAGAGAACCGGTTGTTAAATTATTTGAATCCCACCACTGCCCAAATCCCAATATCCATATTATTATTCAGAGGCATCCCGTCATTGAGTATCTTATTTCCTTTGAACAAAATAACACCGTCATTTCCAAACAAGATAGAACCGTGTGGATATATGCTGCTGGTGTCAGCACTTCAAGCTGCATTTACTCTAGTGCTGACATAAGAAGGAGAAGCGGAGGCATCTGGAAAGGGACATTTGACTTTTCACCTACTTATTTTCCCTGGAGATAATATCCCCTAGGAGATGGGATGGGAGGGGGGAAATTCCTTTGAGCTGGAGCAGTAGATTAAGGGTAGAGTGACTTGGAAGATGGCCAATGAGTGCAGAGGAGTAGGGAAAGGAAAGGGAGGGTTTTGGGTCAGGAAGTCAGTATGGACGATGGAGTCGGAGTTAGAATGTCGTGCTTAATAAATGGGAATTTTTCATCAAAGACTTCGTTTGAAATGCAATTTATTTGAGATGACCTCGAAACCTGACAGCTGGTAGTTTTAGGAATAAGAGGCCAAGAAAGCTTAATGAAGTTTCACCCACTAAGAACTTTCTCACACCCTTGAATGCGCTCAGCAATGAGTTCCCAGAAAGTTCACAATACATATTTTTATCCATATTTTGACTCTGCATGTTACTGCTAAAGTTGTTTTCGCTTACCATCAAGGATAAAGAGAACCAGATTCTGTTTGCCCAGATTCAGCCTCCATATTCATATGAATTTCCTCTTTTTCTTCCCCACTTCTGTTTCCACCTTGTCATATTGCCCTTGGTCTGCTCCAGTCAAATTCAGTTGTTTTTCTCTTCCTTTTGTTTGACGTTCAACCCACACAAATGGAATCCAAAATCCGTCTGGAATCTTGAAGTGACAACAGAGAGTCGGTGAAAGGGAATATTATTAAATGTTCTGTAAAAAACATCTCTGGCAGAACCGACTCTCATTTGATCCTACACAGTTTTTTCTCCTCTGCAAAGATTATTGTTTTGGAGTGGAGGGGATATGACATGAAACCTGGCTGTTATGATGAAACACGACCCTAGCATAGCATTCATTACAGAAGCACAAAGGTACTTCTGGGTTGAAAGGATTAGCCAGTGATGACATCACCGTTGCCCAGGGTATGCCCAGTTCGGGACTCCTTTCGGGTCCCTAGCAGGAGCTGGAGCAAGGGATGGGAGCTCAACCCCATCCCATGGCAGCACTCAGGTCTCGAACATGGGCTTGCTGCATGTCAACCTAGGGTCCTAGTAAGCAAGCCACCATGTTCCTCAACACTACCCTAAAAATGCTTCATTCCCAGTGGGTTCCGTAAGACATTTGCCATAGGGAGATTTTCAGCCTTATCTCAGTCTCCTCCAAACTTGTGTCCTATGATGTTTTGGTTTACAACTTCATAATCTCCTGGTGACATGGATTGTATGAACTTGAAGTTCAACCCATAACAAGGGGCCTGGTGGCGCAGCTGGCTAATAGCCTGTTATTAACATTCAGCTGCCTGCAATTACTGCAAGTTCGAATCTCGCCAGGCTCAAGGTTGACTCAGCCTTCCATCCTTTCTAAGGTAGGTAAATTGAGGACCCAGTTTGTGGGGGCAATAAGCTGACTTTGTATAAAATATACAAAAGTATGAAGGCTATTGCTTAGCGCATTGTAAGCTGCCCTGAGTCTCCGGAGAAGGGCGGCATATAAATTAAATTTAAAAAAAAATCAGTGCCATTCACGGCTACTTTTGAAATACTATTGGGGTACGTGTAGTCTGTGAACTTTCTCAAATCCAGAATGCAAGTCATAGCTAATGTTGTTGGGTTTTTTTTTTTTGGTAGTCCCCCTCCCCCCTCCCCAAAAAGACCCCAAACAGGCGAGCAGAACCCAATTTAAAAATAGCAGATTAAAATTGTGATAGATTAAAAACTGGGATTCCCAATGTTGTGACCCACAAGCGGCCAGTGGATCTGGCAGCAGATTCAGACAGTGAGGAGGTTGGGGAGGAACATGGGCCAGTTCTGGAGTCTGAGGAAGGCTCTGATGAGGGCTCTGCATCGGGGGCAGAGAGGGGGCCAGGGCCGTCTGACAGTTGTCATCTGCCTTCGGAGTCAGACATCAGTGGGGCAGAAGAACAGCTGGATCCTGTTCCCAGTGTGCGCATGCACAGAGCTGCCAGGAGAAGGGAACAGCTAAGGAACAAGGGTCGACTCAGGAGTAAATTCACAGGTGGATGGTGAATGGCCCCTCCCATAGGGAATAAAGAGGAGTGAAGGGGAGGGGAGTTTGCAGGAGACAATTAGTTCATTTGGGTGAAGATCTGTTCCTCCATTCTTGCCGAGTATTGTCGGTTACAGTGTGGAGTCTGAAAGATATCGGCCTGGCCACTCTCCAAGCCTGATAAAGATTGTGAACTATCTTGAAAGACTGTAGGAGAGGAAAGACTTTGCTGGAGAGGAATTCACTGTAAATTAAATAAAAGGGGTTTATCGGGACGAGGATTTGGCTTCGTGGTGCCGGGGAAGCCTAAGTCAGAACACCCAATGGCTTTCCAAGGGAATCCACAGGGCCAAACAAGTTTTTTTCTTTTTCTTTTTTCTTTTCAATTTACTTAACAATAACCATTTTTTAACAGTACTGCGACATGTGTCTCTTACAGGTATTTACATTTATTCCTATACATTTATATTTCTCTGTTCTAACCAGTTATACCACTTATCCCACACCTTATAAAATTCTGCTTCTTCTTGCCTTTCATTTCTATTTTTTTATTATAAAATAAATTTTATTGAATATAAATATTAAAAAAGACATATGTAACATATACACAACAAACATTTATACAACATATACACAAAAAGAGTATAATTTCTTCTTAAGCATTTTTTCAGTGTGACATTCTACAATTCTACTTAGGATATATTCCTTCACCTCTCCTTAATCTAATAACATTTTTTATTATATATATATATATTTAAATCGGTAATATTTCCCCCTATATTTTTTGTATATTTTTGATTTTTAACCAATTATACCAATTATTCCATATTTTGTAATAATCTGATTCTTCTCTTTCTTGTAATTCTTTGGTTAACCTATCCATTTCAGCACATTCTAAAATTTTTCCTATTACTTCTGTTTCACTTGGTGTTTTTTCTTGCTTCCAATTTTTTGCGTAGGTTATTCTTGCAGCAGTTAATATGTGAATTGTGAGATATTTGATATCCTTAGGGTATGATTTGTTAAAGATTCCTAATAGAAATGTTTCTGGTTCTTTTTCAATCTGTGTTTTTGTTATTTGTTCCAACCATTTTTTGATGTTAGACCAAAATTTCTTTGCTGCCAGGCAAGTCCACCATAAATGATAGAAAGTCCCTTGTGCCTTTTTGCACTTCCAACAAATCGGGCTATTTTTAGGTTGTATTTTTGCCAATCTGGTTGGAGACATATGCCACCTATAAAACATTTTCAGTTGGTTTTCCTTGTATGCCGTTGCTTTCATTAAATTTAGGTTTACCTGCCAGAACTTTTCCCATTTTTCCAAAGGTATTGTGTGTTTGATGTTTTGAGCCCACTTAATCATCGTTTCTTTGACTATCTCTTCTTCCAATTTATAGCATAGAAGAAATTTGTAAATTTTACTAATTAATTTATTTTCTGAATCAAATATAATTTTATCTATTTCTTGTTTTTGATTATAAATTTCATATGTTTTTATATGTTCTCTGTATTTGGATTGTATTTGAGTATAAGTCCACCAGTCTATTTCTCTGTGTAAATTTGTCTCCAATTGTTGTTTTGTCTTTAGTTTGCCTTGATAGTCAATTATATCTTTATATCTAATTATTTTTGTCTTCTCTGTTAAATTTGGGTGTCTAATTGATTCTGCCGGTGCTAGCCAATTTGGTATCTTCATATAATGTTGTTTTTTAATTTTAAGCCAAATTTGTAATAATGAGTTTCTTATTGTGTGTCTTTTAAAATATGAATGTGTTTTGTATTTCTCATCCCACATAAAGGAGTGCCAGCCAGTTTGGAGTTCGTGTCCCTCAATTGTTAAAATTCTAGAGTCCTTTAACTCTATCCAATCTTTGACCCACGATAGTACTGCTGCTTGGTAATATACCTCCCAGTCAGGGAGTGCAGCTCCTCCCCTATCTTTTGTATCCTGAAGCAGCTTAAATTTTATTCGTGGCCTTTTCCCTTGCCATATAAATTTAGATGTTATTTTATTCA